TGAAGTATGGTAGATGGCTTTGCAGGTGAAGAAACTTTCTCTCTCTCTCTTCTCCCTCCTTCCTCCTCCTTCCTTCCCATCTTCCTCCACTCTCCCTCCCTCCCTCCCTCCTCCCTCCACCCTCCCTTCTATCTTCTCCCTCTTCCCTCCTCTCTCTCCTCCTTCCTCCTCCTTCCTTCCCATCTTCCTCCACTCTCCCTCCCTCCCTCCCTTCTATCTTCTCCCTCTTCCCTCCTCTCTCTCCCTCCACCCTCCCTCTTCCCTCTTCTCTCTCCCCTCCCTCCTCCCTCCACCCATCCTCCTATCTCCTCCCTCGTCCCCGTCCCCCCCTCTCACAGTCCGAAGCTTACGTAAACTCAAGTACAGTAGGTGGCGTTGCAGGCGAAGAGACTCTCAGTTTTTCAATAGATCGAATTTTATCGGGAATGGAATGCACTGTTTGGCACTGTGGTACTGGTGGGTGTGGTGGAGAAGGAGGATGAAAGTATTTTTCTTGGTTTTAGGGATATATATCATAAAACATTAGGAAAATCTGTGAACAGGAATCTATTACGCATAGATAGATAGATAGCTAAACAGATAGGTAAATAGACAAACAAACACACGCGCATATGTATGTACAAACAGCATACATACATATATACATACATACAGGCATACATACGTACATACTTACACACTCTCTAAAATGCATTGAAAACGTGTAACAATCACTTTAATGGCTAAATGGTACTCAGAACTAAAAAATGCATCAACAAGATCATTTACCTTAACAATAGTTATCTCTCCTCATTCACTTATTTTTATTTTTCTCTCCCCATGGGGTTCTTAATTTAAAACATTGATTCTACACGTTAAAACATTAATACCACACTCAATAAAACACTGATTCTACACTCAATAAAGCATTTATTCTACACATTAAAACATTAATACCACACAATAAAACCCCGATTCTACTCAATAAAACCCTGATTCTACTCAATAAAACATTGATTTTACACTCAATACTAATGCTAAATGGACCAGAATGTTATGTTAGCATGATTCACCTCATACCAGAAACCACTTCGCTGGAACAGTAAGATGAACATTATTCATATGATATGGTAGTCAAAATACTCACACTTTGACTGGAATTTTCCCATGATTAAAACAGAAATTACATCTATCTCTTCAGATAATAAGTCGTGATAAAGACACAAAATTTAACGTGTTTGGGATTGATTCTTGATACTTAAGAGTGAAGTTATTAAGTGATGAAATTATTGTCGGTTGTTGTGGTGGTTGTGGTCCTAGCAGTATTGGCATATCAGCGTTCGTTATAATATTAATTCTACTATTAATGATTATTATTTTTATTGTTGTTACTATTATTACTATTTTCATTATCACCACAATCTCCATCTCCATCTTCATCACCATCATCATCGTAATTATGATTATGATGATTAGTATCGCTATTGCAATTACTATCATCGTTACTCATATTATTACTATTGCTATTATCATAATCATCATCATTGTTATCATCATCATCATTATTATTATTATCATTATCATTATCCTCCTCCACATCATCATTATCATTATCATCGTCATCATTATCATTATCATTATCCTCATCCTCATTATTATCATCATTATCATCTTCATCATTATCGTCCTCCTCATTACTATTATTATCCTCATCCTCATTATTATCATCACTATCACTATTCCTCCTTTCCAGAGCTCGTGGCATGGGCGTGCCTAGGAGCCGGGACGGTGATCTTAACATGGACTATCTTCACCATGGGCAGCCCACGTTGGCTCCCCGTCTCCATCTCTGCCTGGATGAGGAGAAGTATTTGCGTTCCTTTTATTTATTCCTTCTAATCGAATGCTTTGTCTTTTCTTATCGGGTGTTAGATTAGATGTAAACTATAGTTCGGTTTGGAAAATGGATGGGCTCATCTCTCTTTCTTTCTCTCTCTTTCTCTTTTCTCTTTTCTTTTCTTTTCTTTCTTTCTTTCTTTCTTTCTTTCTTTCTTTCTCTCTCTCTCTCTCTCTCTCTCTCTCTCTCTCTCTCTCTCTCTCTCTCTCTCTCTCTCTCTCTCTCTCTCTCTCTCTCTTCTCTTTCTTTCTTTCTTTCTTCTTTCTCTCTCTCTCTCTCTCTCTCTCTCTCGCTTTCTTTCTTTCTCTCTCTCTCTCTCTTATCACTCTCATCTCTCTCATATCAGGGATTAGAAGATATAAACTACAGTTCGGTTTAGAAAATGGATGAGCTTGGGAGATTAGTAGATGTAGATACAGTTCGGTTTAGAAAAAAAATTGATTAGTTTGAAAGATTCGTAGATGTAGATACAATGTGGTTTTGAAAACGGACGAGCTCGAGAGATTAGTAGATGTAGATATGATACGGTTGAGGAAATGGTTTGGCTCGAGATTAGTAGAAATAGATACAGTTCAGTTAAGAAAACAGGCGAGCACGGGCTTAGAAAATGAGCTCGAGAGATTAGTAGATATAGATACAGTTCGGTTTAGAAAATGGATGAGCTCATCTCTCTCTCTTTCTTTTCTCTCTCTCATATCAGGGATTAGAAGATATAAACTACAGTTCGGTTTAGAAAATGGATGATTTCGAGTGATTAGTATATATAGACACAGTTCGGTTAGGAAAACGGATTATTTCGAAATTAGTAGATATAGATACAGTTTGATTCAGAAAATGGATTAGCTCGAATTAGTAGATATAGACAGTTCGGTTGAGGAAACGGACGAGCTCGAGAGATTAGTAGATATAGATATAGTTCGGTTTGCAAAATGTATTAGCTCGAAATTAGTAGATATAGACATTTAGGTTGAGAAAATGGAAGAGCTCGAGAGATTAATAGATATAGATAAAGTTTAGTTAAGAAAACAGACAAGCCCGGGCATAGAAAATGGATAAAGTCGTGAGATTAGTAGATATAGATACAGGTCGGTTGAGGAAACGGATTAGCTCGAGGGATTAGTAGATATAGATACAGGTCAGTTAAAAAAAACAGACGAGCTCGAGATATTAGTAGATATAGATACAGTTCAGTTAGGAAAACAGACGAGCTCGAGAACACGGCGTTCTGAACGGGAGGTGAATAAACCTCTTTGCGTTTAAGTTTGTTGGTCTTGTCTACTTGCGGTTGGTGTGGCTGGTTTTCTATGGTTGAGCGGTCGATAACTGTCACTAGCCATTGTGTTGTTAAATGATCTTTTGGAGGCTTTTGCGGAAATTGGTTTTCGTGGGAGAATCTTTAACTGAATATGTTTGCAGAGTCTACAAAATTTTCGTTTATGGGAAGTGATATTTTGATATTTTCTTGAGAAGAGATCGGATAGATTTACCTGATTCCGATAATGTAGTATCAGACCTTTCCTCTTTTGCAGTAATTCATTTTCATTCGCTTTTTTTTTTCTCCAACAAGAAATAGATCGATATATTTCGTCTCGTTTCAGAACCATTGCCAAGGACCCCTCCTGTCCCCTGCCTCCCCCTGGCCATGAGGCAAAGGCTGGCCTCAGAACTCGCCTCGCTTAGCAGGGACATTCTCGCGCATGCAGGTAAGAGTAGCTCGAACGGCGGGAAACGTAACATTACGTCCTCGTACAGAAGGGCAAGTTCGCGCAGTATCACGTCCATAACGGGAAGGGCGGGTGGCGTAACATTACGTTCATGTAGGGTAGGACAGGTTGGGGGATATTACGTCCAAAGTTCCATGGTCTATAACCATGAGAATTATATGGGTGTGTACCTATGCGAATGTGTTTGGTGGTGTATGTTGTTATATGTCCATTTACACATATGCAATATATATGTGTGTGTATTGTATGTGTGCTTCTGTGTTTGTGTGTGTGTGTGAGAGAGAGAGAGAGAGAGAGAGAGAGAGAGAGAGAGAGAGAGAGAGAGAGAGAGAGAGAGAGAGAGAGAGAGAGAGAGAGAGAGAGAGAGAGAGAGGGGTAAATGAATGTTTTATTCTTCAGTCGGTTAATTTCACTATCGCAGACGTTGGATTTCTGTGAAGGAAGAGCGTTACCGAATATTCCTTTATCCACATTACCCCTTTTCTCTCTTTCTGTCCCCAGACGAAGATCCACATAACAGCAAGTGGTCCGCCCAGCTGAACCTGATCACCTCTGTCCTGGATCCGCGCATGGACCAGGAGGACCTCCGGCCGCCGTCCCTCGTCTGCCCCGAGGACTTCGACAGCACCACCTTCTCGGAGCTCAAGTGCAACTCCGCCCCGCCGCTCGCTCAGGTCCTGAGTGTGATCCTTCCAGCCAGGGGGTGGGACGAGGACCGAGTGTCTCGCGTGGTGCACGGCCTCGGGAAGAAGCACGGCCTCACCGTCATCCTCCTGCTGGGGAAGGACGACCCCGAGCCTCCCCGCAGCGAGAAGCTCCTGGTCCTGCGTCAGAATCAGTCCCTGAGTAGTGGTGCGCTCCTCAACGAAGCCGTCTCCTGGGTGAAGACGTCCCACGTGCTGGTAGGACACGGCCTTGTGCACTTCTCCTGGGACTTCTCCCCGCTGACGAGGCTGCTCCGGGTGATAGACCGCCTCCCAGCCGTGGGCGTCGCAGCGGGAGCCTACCGCGACGAGAGCGGCCGATGGAATCACGGCTGCCTCCAGAGATCCATCACGAACTACCACGCCACGTTCATCCGCGGCTACCAGTACTCGGGGCAGGAGTGCATGTACTGTGACGACGTCCTAGGACCCTTCCTGGCGCCGGCGAGCCTACTACGACGCCCCTCCTTCGGTAACACGCTGGACGGGCCGCTCCTGTATCGAGACTGGTTCACGAGGCTCGGGCAGGAGGGCTTCCTGTATCTCGTGTGTCCGGACGTGATGTTCTTCGTCGAGACAGAACCTGTCATGACGAGAGAGGACTGGAAAGCGTATGCGACCATGTGGGTTCTTCAGGGCGTTAGTGGATTCGACAACAAAGAGTATGATTTTTCATGCACAGAAGTCCATATAAAT